AATTTTTTATCCTTTTTTTTGAGACTTTGAACACATTTGGATGCTTTTAGAAATCTACAGAACCTTTTTGGGGGTTCTGCAAAACTCCTTTTTTTTTAGAGAGCATTAGATCATCATTGGTGTGGCACTTTTGCATTTCACTTTATTATCACTTAATACGTTGTATTAAAAAAACAAAATATACCACAAGATGCAGCGTGAAAAGCTCTACAATTTACAAAGAACAATTATAAAAAGATGAAATAAAAAACGAATGAAATTCGTCTTTTACCAAAAAAGGATCTCGTTTTCACAACGTCGAAACTTAGTCGCTCAGAATTTTGTCCATTTGAAAGCAAAAAGCGCAACTATAAAATAACCGATCCTTTATAAATCGTAGAGCTTTTCACGTTGCATCTTGTGGTATATTTTGCATTTTTGATAAAATGTATTAAGTGATGATAAAATGAAGTATGAAAATGCCCCATTTTTTTATGCCACCCCATTATGATCTAATGCTACAAGCTAATTTTCAACCAAAACAGTTCTTATCGGAATTTTATTATTATGATATTAGTTGAATAGTGATCAAATAGCATAGAACAATAGAGCGAAAGACTCTTTATCTGTTCATAAAAAAGAAAATTTTTTCAGACTTTCTATAAGAAAAAAAGTACCTCCGCCACTACTTTTGGATAACCCTAAGTACATGCATCTTAAATAAAAGGCTTACTCAATCCATATACAAATGAAAAGGAATGCGACTATTTAGGTTATGCCCATATAAAACACTGAATAAGAACTCATTTGAAAAGTCAAAAAGACGAGCATGCTCAGTATTTTACTATTGTCTCATCATTAATTTCATCGTTCGCATTCGTGTATAGCAGATTAAATATTGTACAACACATTTAAAATATTGCTGCCAACTAACAATGCTTTGGAATTGTCTATCGTCAAATAGGACAATATAAAAAGATTTCTTTTTAGCATGTTTGTGTTATGCTCATCAGTTTTAGTGTTAATTTATTTTTACTCATGTTTTTTATAGCAATACCTAGTAACTTCAAAGACAATCACTAAGAATGATGATTGTGTTTTGCTTTATTTGTGTCTTCAATCATATTGAATGAATTTGAACTAATTTATACTATCGGAAAACGCAGATACTCAATATTTTGATATTTTTCTACAAATGCTTTGTCTATAAAGTTATTAAATTTCTTACAAAGTAACAGATTTTCCTATACTATATATTAAACTTTGTATTAATGCCCAGTTCCTTGAGGTAAAATTACTGTGAAATATTTCCACAGCAATGATGATAATCAAATTTTATTTGCTTGCTCTTCGCATTTTTCAACGTTCGAACAGGACGGTGTGCATGTGAATGAGCAAATGAAGAGACCACCTGCAGACACATTGATCTATTATTAATCTCGTCTTTTTAATTTTAACTTTTTAAGTTTCACAATAATATCATGCGTGCAAGCTTCATTGCAAACTCAACCTTATCGTTCTTCATGAAAGTATCACTCATATAAAACTAATATGCTGTTTGAATATAAACATTATTTTCTGTTCTACAAATATCTGAAAAAATCTACTTTTGAGAAGGTGTAGCTTTTATTTAGCAAGTCAGTTTGTTTTCATATTGATGGTCTTCAATTTTATGACTATGTTTGATTCTTGCTCTTATGCCTACTCAATCATAATATCTTATAAATATAGCTGTTTGCAATAGAAAAAGAAAAGTTGCTTATTTTTATTTATTCTTCACCTTCTCATTTATCAATTTGTTCATCGTTATTCTTTCTCTTGAGGAATGTTAATATTAACTGTTTTTGTAGCATAATGAAGAAAAACTAAATGATGTTAGCAGTCTACTTACGCTCAAATAATGCCTTTGAAGTTTAATAATCGTTTAGTTTGATCAATGATTTAGTGTATTGTGAATACATCAGCGAATGAAAGTGACTGACTTTTATTAATCGACGCTTTCTCTCAAGCATTATTTTTTCTCGTGATATTTATTTTCAATCTCTCTTTGTATTGTCCATGTGACACCGTAAGCAACTATATGCTTTTACTATCGAACAAAATGAAATGACAGTATGAAGGACAGAAAGGTAGAAAAGTAACAACAGTAGTGATAAGGAAGATTAGAAAAAAATCATCAAAGTTCTTCGGATTTTTCTGACTGATAATTTAAACAGAACCTTTATAAAGCGTTGATTCTCGAAGGAATCTGGTGCACTTGGTTCTATTCAATATAAACAACTTTCAAACATGATTTTATCTCTTCGCCTGGTTGATTTTGTCTTTTCTTCAATGTAAAGCAGTGAAACAGGCAAAAAAAAAGATAAACATGAAAGAAAAATATTATGGTAAGTAGTGATTGAAGGGGAGACTATACATCACGTTGTGAATATGCACGACTGATTTCAATTAAAAACACATCAAGAGACACTGCATCGGAAATAATGAGAAAAAAAACAAGTTCTTTTGATTTGATAGGCTTTGGAAAAAAATGGTCGTAAAATTCAGACGACACGAAAGAAGAACCATCTTTTTTTCAGCAGATGATCCCAAGTTAATGTTTTCACAAAAGCTACATCTTAATGTCGATTATTATTGCTACAAAATTGAAAGGAACGATTTTGTATGAAGCGAGATATACCTATACCCAGGCCAAAATTTATATTTAAGGAACATATTTGTCAATTTGAAGCTAGACTTTACCTCTTAAATCACCATTGATGAATAAACAAATGTATAGAATTACTATACCAATGAATTCGTGTCTGAAATTATTATAAAATACTCAATTCTTCATTTCTCTTAAGCATGATTATTTTCCACTGCTGTTATAGCCGATTAGAAACTCTTCTTAGTAGAACTATTATATTTTCTATACTGTTTTTATACACTATTTGTATGTTGAATTGAATAGATCATTTTACATTGTAACCACTAGTGAACTGAAGAATCAAATTCATTGTTTTAACAATTGTTTTTGTGCAAGTATACTTGAGATATGATCTGAAGTCCATGATTATTATATGCTAGAAAAAAAGAGTCCATGACATCGTCAACACTGTTACATTATCACTCTGGTTTCTGCTTTTTATTTTATGTTATTTTACCATGATTAGTAAAAATCTACGCAAGAAACTACGATGATCAAAGAAAGCGAGGCCCTAGAGTTCTTCAAACGATAGACACCACAGTTCAAAGATGGTTGCCGAAGAAAATGCAATAGTTTTTGGGGTGTGGGGTGTGTGTATGAGTTTCTTCTCTTCACAAACACCCACACCCACACCCTTCTAGGAATCCTATAGGTGCTAATTTTGGATCTATTTAAATGTTTAGCTTCATAATCTGTCATCCTTTTTGTATGATTCCACCATAATGATAATAGAATTTTAAGAAATTGTAGACATTATTTTTTCTACTACATGTTGCTTATATTCCTTGCGACTTGTCTGAAACTATGTCTGATATAGAGTACACAATATAATAACATATCGCAATAATCGAAATTTGAATGTCTCTTATGGCAACTTTTTCCACCACCATCTATAATATAATATTGATCATCGAATTGTTGCACTTAAAATTAGAATCTATTCGACAGGAATGACTATTGAAAATATAATCATTCTTAAGAAAAACCATAGATAAACTATTTTATAAGAATGTCATGTTCGAATCCATTGCTAAAGTTGTTGAATATACTAGTGTGTCCATTGATGGTCGTAAAGATCACAAATTTGGTCTCAATTCGATAAATAACAGCTCTAAGTGCAACATGTTGCTTGTTCAAATAAAAAAATGCGTAATTATCGATATCTTTTTGATCTTGATATGAGCATATCTCCATTTAGATATAGCTGCTCTTCTTCAATTTTGTGTTTTTGTAAAAATTTTAGTGTTGCAATAACGTTCCGTTATGGAGATACAACGACATTATCAAAATTTACTACTTGTTAAAAAAAAGGAAAAATTTTTGCTAAAAAAGTTCAAGAACTTCACTTTTTTGAAATTTTAAAATACTCTGACGAATGCAAGATAATTTTTAAACAAGAATAAAAATATTGAGTACTACCGATCGTAAATGAAAATTTCCCTATTTTTACATTAATTCTATGGAGACGTATTTTTGCGATAATTTCTTTTCAACAAGACACATTGAATTGACAACTTTGTGGTATATCCATCGTATTCAGTTCTACTAGTTGTCTAAATTAAGTTTAATATGATTTTTGTGCCGCGCCCTCCTCTTCCGATAATGCGAAGTCGACAGTACACTAAAAGCTTCAGATTAATATAATATGTTTTTGACAAATAAAATATTTACTCATAATAATTTATGAAAAACTTAATTTTTTTTTGTTATTGCCTTCCGTTCACTGCTTATTATGTTTTTCTCTTAATATTCATGTAAAACATTCATTGATATTAGACAAATTACTCTTTTTTTTTTGATAACGTCATTGATGTAAAATAAGACCGGAAAGATAGAGATGCTATTCTTCAGATTGCTTACCTATGTAAAATTAACAATTTATTGATGTCTTGTCTAATTGCAAAAAAAATAGACAGCTTGGTTTTGAGACATTTTGCATGTAGCTTAGCTGTTTCTCCAATGGTTATTTTTTTCATCATATATATCAGGAGCACAACATGTGTCAGCATCAACTGTTCCTTTTTTAACTGTTAATCAGTCTGATGGTGTTATTACATATTTTAGTAGAACATATCTGCATCATATAATTTATAATTATTTACTAATACTGAATTTTATACATTTTGTTTGTTATGAAACATTTGATATTCATGCAACTAAAATAAAATTCATCTAAAATAGATTTGCGAGTTATTTCTTTACCTTTCTTCATAATCTGTTTTCTTCTCATATATTATTATTGATTGCAATAATAGCATCTTCTATTTGTTTAAAATTGTTTGATGTAATCAAGGACTGTTAAATTTTTTGTACAGTATATCATTAATGCTCAAGAATATATTATTTCGATGTATTAAATGGTTCCAGCGTACGACTATCTTCAATGCATGCATCAACGAACATATCTTGGCAACGAAATAAACCTATTTTATCTGACGCATGTGTCTAACATAATCAATCATTTCAATTTCCATTTTAATCAAAATTCGATCAAATATTTATTTAATAACAGATTCTAAAATATTTCCATTGATATATCTATATTCGCACGACAAAATAGTTCTTTTCGAATCATCCAGATAATCAATTATTTTTGGTATTAAAATTATTGTATATAGCAATGAGGATTTGATATTTTATACATGAATTTCGTAAAATAACAAATTTTTGATTGGACATTAAAATTAAAAATCATATTGATCCGTACACACTTTTGTAAACTTTTAAAAGAAACGTATTATAATTCAAGTCATTTCAAAAGCTTGTAAATTTCAATACAAGTATATAGATCAGAACAAATAAATTCTATAAGTTATCAACAATAGTGCTATCTCTATAAGTAAGATAATCTTTGAAGTTCATAAAATTGTATTATTTTACGCATAGGTAATGTACATTCTTGAACAAGGATCATTGTCATAGAGATCATACACATAATATAACAAAGATTTTACAAATAATTTTCATATTTCGAGTTCCCTTTATTTTTCAATAGAACAACAATTGATTATACATTATAACATAAAATTTATAGTAAGAAAAAATCTAAACATTATTTGATTCTACACTAATCGACGATCTTGTCTCGTTCTTTCCAGATTCTTGTTTTTCTTGATTTTCAGGCAAGATTCTTTTTCTATTTCTCCTATACAGGATTCTTGCCTGAAAAAACTGACCTTGCCTTTCTGACAAGATTCATGTAGACCGAATCTTGGCTGGCGAGGCAAGAAGTGTCTCCCCAGACAAGACTCTTGCGTTCTTGCCTTCTTGTCTGATTCTTGCTTTCCTTGAATTCTTGTCTGATTCTTATTTTTCTTGATATCCTCGTCTGATTCTTTTTTTCCTTGGATTCTTGTCTGATTCTTATATCTCTAGCGTCTTGCCTGATTCTTGTCATATTAATAAAGCTTTTGATAAGTTATTATTACTACCTTTTTCTTACTAATTTATTAGAAATTTCACGTAAAATATACAAAAGAAAACGCAACAAAATATACTCAATTTCATGTGAATTTATAATTATAATCATCATCATCGAATATATAATTATCAACAAGTGTATCATCATCTAATGTACCACCAGCATCTGCACCATCAGTATTTGTATCATCCATAAGTATATCATGAACAAGTATATTATCATTAAAAACTGGATCATTAGCCGCAACACCATCTTCAAAATTTTCATTAATTTTGGATAAATATTGATTTGATTCTTTCTAGAAAATAAAAACGAACAGTGAAAAAATTTTTACTTTGCAATGATTCAGTTAAAATAAGTCATTTACAATTTGTTCAGTCAGTAAACGAGGCAAAGATAATTGAGTACAATAGAGTTTTTTTTCTTATCGCGTCATCGTCGTTGTTTACGTGTATGTAATGATGGTTCTAAAAAAAGGATGACATATGAGTCAAAAAAGAAGAAACTAAGTATATATTGCGATTACCTAATTTATTAACAGCATTGTCCTTCAAAAAGTTGAACAAATTATCGGAATTTTCTTCGTCCATAAAAAAAAATATAAATGCTGCAAGATCTACAAAATGAAATAAAGAGAAAGATATTGATTAGTAGAATATCGACATGCATTCAACAAAAGTGTAATTCTTTAGAAAAAAAATCCCTATTGTATATTTCATTGTTATCTCTATATCCTATCGAAATGAAGAGCTATCAGATGTCGTTCAAATAAAATGATCGTTCTAGGAAAGGTACATACTCAAAGTGAAATTATACTATAGTTTTCACATCAACAAAATGAACAGATAATATTCCAACGTTTCTTTTATATATTCGAACGCACAAAGACATCACGTGCCTTATTTTCTTACAAAGCTGACAAGAATCTTTTTCTTCCTGTCGAAAAGAATCTTCTCTGAACATCAAGAAATTTAAAATATCTTGTATTTCTTTCCAGCTTCTGTTTTTTCATAATTTTCTGACAAGATGCTAGTGATCTTGAATAGCAGACAAGATTCTTTCGAAAAGGAAAGAAAAAGATTCTTGTCTGAACTTAAAATGTATCTTGACTATCTTATGATTCTGGCATGATTCTTTTATTTCTGATCAATCAGGCAAGATTCTGATCATCTTGAGCTCCAGGCAAGATTCTTTTTACTTTCCTGTGGAAAAGAATCTTGCCTGAATACAGGAATCTTGTCTGAAAGTCAAGAAAAACAAGAATCTGGAAAGAAAGAGACAAGATCGTCGATTAGTGTATCTTATTTCTGTTTAACATAAATTTAAAAGAAGTGCTCATAATAATGTCGTTCCTTGCAGTATTGTACAGCTAGCTGATAAGAATAATCTTCTAATTAGTTATTGCTATATGAGATTGTTTGTGTTCACAACAAGTAAACTAGCATTATACAAATAGGTTATACCTGAAATGTGTTATTAAGTTGTCTATATACGTATCAAACGTGATATTAGTATCATTAATAAAATTCTTTTATATCCATACTGTACAGTATTTCTTGTTTTCATAAAAGAGATTATCGAATGATTCACTATTTCATTAATGGTTGTTTAAGGATGGTAATCTTGACGACAAGAAAATGATGATGTTGTATTTGTGTCATAATTCTCTACCTCTGAATATGATTGTTTGTCTTCCTTTCTATCCATACACATTGATTATTATTCTGTTTCTTTCTTTCTGTTCGAAGCTGTCGTCAATATCATCACTCCTGTTCTTCATAGAATAATATACATGAGTTTGATTCTCGTCGTTCTAGCGACAACTAGAGCCCTGCAGTTCTGGTTAGCAAAATGGATAAAAAACGGTTCCTTTCTCGGTTCCTAAAATTTTTTCTAGGAACCGACGATTTTACCGTAACATACAAAATACCGCGTAGTTGAGTTTTTTTTTTAGAAACTTTACATTTTATCTTCGGGACTCCTCGTGTTTATTACTTCATCAAATAAGTAGCTGTTTCAAAAGGTAAAAGAAAAAGTCAAAGAATGAATTGAAACGCTAACAGAAAATATGTTCATATGAAATATTTATATTACAACTTCTAAAAAAGAGCTACTTGATCATTTCCTTATCCTCTCCATGGTCATGATCACAAAGAACAATATCATCTTCGTTACTCATTCTGAACGTCTTTTTGCTGTTGTAGTAATAAATTGTTATTTAGTCTAGACAGGACACTGTAGAAGATGACTATTCAACCATCTTTCTTTTCGTTTCAGTTGTATCAACCTCATTAATTTTTTTCATCACACGATTTGAATAATGCTAAATTTTTCTGAAAAAAATAGCAATAGGGTATTTTTTTCTGCACCAAGATCGATCCGTTTATCGATATTTGTGTTCTTTGCAGACGAGAAAAGTCCTTCTACAATGGTGTTCGATGTTTGTATAGCATAAAAATCTTGAGCTATAGAAAACAAGATCGGTAATTTTAAATTCTGTTGTCGCGGAATTATAAAACATCATCATGTCCACTGAATGAGACATTTCATGTCATACATTCATCTAATTCATACGGCGTTGTTGACAATGTTAAGGAATTTTGTGGTATATCAAAACAGTATGAAAGAGGACCTTTTGATATTGTTGATTGAGAATCAAGTGAATTTGTATGAACAGGTGGTGGAGTAGTAGTTGTACATGTAGTGGATAGTATTGTTGGTTGCCATTTACTAATTTTCGTTTTAACTAACTTAAGAGATTTTTCTTGAAAACCAGGATTGCTACGAAAAATTTTCATAGACAAATGACGAAAGGTGCTGATATAATGTGCATCTTGCAACATCTACACATCTTGAAACTCTCACTCTCAAGAAAAATTTCGGTTCCTAACGGTTCCAGTTTCATCCTCTTTTATTTCACGGGTGTGGGTGTGGGTGTGAATGTGGATGTGGGTGGGGCGTGGGGTGTGTGTATGAGTTTCTTCTCTTCACAAACACCCACACACACTCACACCCACACTCACACCCTCAAGATTTAGAGTGATCTGTTTCCTCTCAATCCTTTCGATGACTAGCCAAGAGTATTGATGGTGCAGCTTTACTTGTGATGAATAGAAGTTGACACAGATGGAATCTGTCTGGAATCCATACCATTGCCGATTCTAATTCTTGAACTTGATATTATGGAATCAATACTAGAACTTGAAGTACCGATTTGTCATAATGACTAAACGCATTCAGGTTCTAGGGCGCAAGTTAATAGTATTCTGTTTGGGCCTTGTTCAGCTCCGAAATTGCGCGGTCTTGTTTTGTTCTATGAGTTTCAAGTCCTTCTTTTCTGGGTAGATTCAATGATACCGTCTGTTGAAAACAGCTGCAATTGAGTTATTTGCTTTGTTGACCTCATTTATCATATGGTGCTTTTCTTATGATCACTTGATTAGTGATGGAAGAAAGCTCGATTGAATTTGACATTGGAAACCCAGGTTTTGAGATTTAATTTGAATTTGGAAGTTTTAGTTTAGGTTTGGTAAGATAAAATGTCACTAAGAATAATTTACTGTATTAGCGGGGGCATAAAACCGGAAAAAGAGTTGTACGCCTAGAACCAAATTCAAATCCAAATATAAAGGGTTTGGCTCCTAATCTGAAACCATTTTTTTTATGGTACGCACACGTAGTACAGTATCTTGTTGTGCTGGCGCTGTATCTAGCCAGATCCTTTGAGATGTGGACAATGTCGAGACCAAATTCCAACTGAAACCTTCAAATCCAAATCTAATCTCAAATCGAAATCCAATGACACCGAATCTTAAGGCTTTCGATTGGTAGCTTGGTAGCACCCGCAACATTATTCTTTTCAATAATAAACCTAACTATTCAGGAAAAAAACAGATCAAATATTAGTAAAAAAAAGTCAAATTTTTGCCCTTGTCAGCATTGCGCGCTTCAATGAAGTGTCTTACTCATAAATTAACCTTAAGAAAATGATATAATTTCGTAGAGGTTTAAAAGGGCTATCGGATGGTGTATGATTGCAATTAGACTGCTACTTTTTTTTTATAATTACTCTGAACAAAAAAGTGGTGTGACACTGAACCTTAAAAGATTCTAGAATTGGGTACCATTTTCAGAACCTTTTAAGGTTCAAACATAATCTGGTTCTATCTTGAACCTTCTTTTTCTTCTTCCAAAAATATATCTAGCCTCGTAGAAAACAGTTCGTTCAACACCCTTGAGCTAGCACTGCTGCTTAGTTCTATATCTAACCCTAATTTTCTTTCCTTAACTCATATTCCTATTCTTAATTCCTTAGTTCTATATTCAACCCCTTATTTCTATCCTTAACTCATAATTCTATATCTAGCCTCTTATTCCTATCGTTAATCCCTTATTTCTATATATGACTCTTAATTAGAGGCGAGCCAATGAACTTAACGCAAAATGAAATTAAGTTTTTAACTAACACTTAATTCACTTGAAATAAAGTGTTGTGTTAGAAGTATGATATTTTATGAAAATAACGATAATCCATAAAGTTTGAACGGAGACTTTCGCGGTCGAGGATCGATATGCCGCTTTAACTTTAAAAAAATCAAAGTAAAGTGAAAGTGGGTATACTGATGGTATCCTTTGAAACTATGCTTGGTTTCTTCCTTAACCCTATCGACTTCAAAATTTCACTCAGGAAAGGCTGTTCCTCAAAAATAGCGATATCCTAGAAAGTTTGACCGAAGGTCTTCGCGGTCAATGAATCAGAATATACGAGTCCTTTACCAAAATTTTCGAAAATATCACTTGTAAAATCTAATTCTCTGATCCTGAAACCCTTTGGTCAAACTTTATAAGAAACCGTTATTTTGTCAAAAATAGGCTTTCTTGGTGATCTCAGGAGAAAAAAAAATTCGAAAATTGCGATCACTGACTCGTAAATTCTGATTCCTCGATCTCGAAAACCTTAAGTCAAACTTTATCAAATTTCATTTTTTTTTGAAAAATACCCGTGCCTTAACAAAATTCTCAAGTTCGCAAATTTTCCGTTATTCGATGGCGTAACCACTTTAACTTTGATTTTTTTAAAGTTAGTGTTAAAGCATGCTACTTTAACTTTAAGAGTGAAAGCACAGTTAAAGATTCATCCCTACCCGTTAACCGTTATTATTAACAATCAACTGCAGCCTGTCGCCCACTTTTTATTAGTATCATTGGTTAAGTGAAGCTACTTAAGATTTACGTTAATTAAGTCGCGTTAAAGAAATGGTGCATCCATAGTTTAAGCGACTTGTACTAGAACCATCTTTCGAAAAGAAGTTCAGCATAAAAAGAAAGAGTGACATAGAACTTTATTAAACACCTGCAACCATTTTTTATCAGGTATGGTTCTTTAAATTATCATGAGCCTTTTGATGGTTTATTAATAAATACGGGAAACCGTACAATGTTCAGTATCTTCGCTAGAACCCTAAATGGTTCCATAGGACACCTTGTTTTTTAAGAGAGTGCTACTTGGTAGAAATTTAACCAACATGAAGATCAATAGCTTCGTCGTATTTCACATTTTAATCCCAACGGAAATGCGCTAAAAGCTTTCTTGTATAAGTTGGAAAAAAACCAACTGCTTGTGATAATTACACATACACTTACTTGACTCACCTGTGCAAATTTACAAAAACCAATCAATCCTGACAAATACACATACACATGTTTGACTCATTTCTGTCATTTGCCATGTTTTTCTTTCTCGAATATTCTTTTTCGTTCGGCAATCGATGGATATATAATGACGAAGCAAGACTGTATAATTATACCATTTATCCGTTCGCTAATATTTATTCACATTATCTCCTCAAACGCCGAATACAAACATACGATAATGCAGACGGTCATTCTCTTGATATTGGTGGCAACAAGCTGTATGGCAGTGATGGCGACACATCAGTTTGAGAAAGAAAGCAGCTCTTCCAACGACATTGAAAACAGCCCTCGTAAAATGTACCGCCGATTGATTCCCATCGGTGATCTTCGTCCTAATCCTCGTTTTCGGACTACTTGTAGTGGTGTTCTTAATATTACTCGTGTCGGTACTTGCAATATTTGTCCTTGTAGTGGTGCTAGTGATTGTCCTGCTGCGGCTCCTGATGCTCGTACTTGTTGTCCTGGTTCTATGGGTAATATTTGTTTTAATTGTGATCGTGATTGTCGTTTTTATCGTGGGGATTGTGCTCGTGATTCTACTAGTTGTTGTGGTGTTTTTTATGTTTTTTGTGCTCTTGCTTCTGGTTATTGTCCTGGTGGTTGTTGTGGTTGTACTTGTAATTATTGTTATCTTAGTGCTTGTCTTAGTTTTTCTACTGGTTATAACAATATTTATACTTGTAGTGGATGTATCTGTGTTGTTTAATTGGTCATGCAAGAGAAACAAGATATAAAATAAAAAAATTAAGAACAGCTAAAATTTTGACATAATTCATAACACGTGATATTTCGGTATCTATCTCACAGGTACCATCATCAGACGAAAATAAAAACTACCAACAATAAACTCATACATCTATATTCATAGTGTTCATTTATTTTCATTTTTATAATGATACTAATATAGCAATAATAATTGGATGTTTTCAATTAGTTAATTTTATTGTTTAATATTTTATATATATGATCAATGAATCAACTTATCTATTTAATGTGCTCATACATTATATTTTACATACACTATAAATATAGATTTATGAGTTTGTTGTTGGTGGTTTTTCTTTTCGTCTGATGATGGTATCTGTGAGATAGATATCGAAATATCACGTGTTATGAATTATGTCAAAATTTTAGCTGTTCTTAATTTTTTTATTTTATATCTTGTTTCTCTTACATGATTGTCCATTTATTTTCATTTTTATAATGATCAGGTATGTTTATTTTACGGCATACTGTCGATGGAAAGTAATCGAGAGAGTCAGAGTTAGATGAAATTCTCCTAGGGACTAGTAGTCTCTTTGAGAATATCGCTTTTGAATACTGTATGCATCAAAATCCTCGTATATCGTTTTGATTTTAGGAACTATTGGAAACCTTACTGCGAACATTGTAATTCAGCATCCTTCTCGGCGTAAAACATTCATTTTTTTGCTCATTTTGCTGTGCTGGCGTTTCAGTATCTTTTTTTTCAAATGAAGGGTAATCTGATCGAATTTGCACAAATATTCGGGTGAAAAATACCACTTTGGAGCGCACACTGTTTCTGAGTTCGATATTTGTTTCCATATGTGGTGAATGTCTCTCTTCACTGAATGAAATCATGCTTCATGTTTATAATGAACAATTACATTGTTCAATGGTTTCAGTTTATTGCTGGTTGCTGCTAAACCAGATGGTTTATGCATACAGTTGTTTTTGTTCGTTTCAGTAACTGTTACTAACTATGAAGCTAGTTTTTTGCCAGCAATAGTTGGTTGTTTCAATAATGGATTTTCTATCGATAATAATTGATTTGTATTTTCAATTAATAGTAACAGTGAGCTCACTGATGAGTATTCAGAGAAAAATTTTTGAAATCGACGATATATGTACCTTGATGGATAACTTTAACATAGGAACAACAAAAAGAAGAGTGAAATAGAAGCAAACTGACCCATTATAGAGTAACATAAGTTTAGTTGAAAGTCGTTCTTCATCGAAAGCGGATATGGTAGATGAATATCATACGGCTCGTAGAAGAGTACCATCAATAATATTCGTGAAAATATGCCGAGGATGATCAGACTTGAATGGTAGTATGTAGGGTTCAGTTGCATCTTTATGATATACTGATGTTGTAAACACTCAAATTTTGTTCTCGATAAATACATCAAGAAATGGTACACTTGTTCAAATCTGGCGAACTAATTTATTAGGATGAAGATTATGCGCTCTATCAAGGATTTGATTGATTTCATCCACTGTTTCATTTGAAGTAAAAAAACGTCATCTATATATCTAAGAATAAGATTTTCGATAGATTTAATACTCTTTCAAAATACAGAAAATATACCGGCCATAGATTTCATTCGATGTGAATTGTCAACGAACAAGCTCTTTTTCCCATTTCCACATGAAAATATTTGCTAGAGTTAAAGTAAATGCTGATCCCATTGCACCTCCAATAATATGTCGATAAAATTTCTTTTCATATATGACAACATTTTCGTTGATAACAATGCGCACTAGTTTTCGAATAGCATCAATCGGAATCTGTTTGACTTTATGATAACATGTTGAAGAAGAAATTCTGTAAGAACATCATGAGATTCTTCTTGTGGTAACTTTCTATATAAATCTGTAATATCAAATGTACATAGATAAGTGGATGGCTGAAAATAATCCTTGCTTGCATATTTTTTTAAACAACGAATTAGATCCACACCATCAATGATTGTTGTTGAACGAGCATGTATATCAAATAATGGTCGGATTAATTTATCTAGAAACTTTGAAATACCAGTTGTTGGCGTATTCATAGAAGCGACAATTGGTCTCAATAGTGTTCCTTTCGAGATCAAATAAACTGGAAAAGTATAATAAATATAGGTAACAGCCTAGAATGTCCTTTAAAAGATGTCCTTGACAAAATATCTCCGACTTTTCGTCTTGCAAAAAATGTCCTTCAGAGTAAATGTCCTTGGTAAAAATGTCCTGTAAAAATGGTCCTTAGTGGTTTGGTCCTTTTAGAAGATATCCTCCAATATCAAAATGTCCTTTCGGTGAAACATGAACAACGGTGAGTGATAATTTTACTTGAGGGTGTAGCTATGGGTGTGTGTGGGTGTGAGTGTGGGGTGTGGGTGTTGGTGTGGGTGTGGGTGTGGGTGTGACTGTGGGTGGATGTGGGTGTGTGTGGGTGTGAGTGGGTGTGAGTGGGTGTGAGTGTGAGTGTGTGTGGGTGGATGTAAGGTGTGGGTGTGGGTGAGTGGATGTAAGGTGTGGGTGTGTGTGAGTGGATGTAAGGTGTGGGTGTTTGTGAAGAGAAGAAACTCATACCCATACCAACACCGTTTAATACGCGTAGTAGCAACACATTTTGTAAGATTTTGATTGCATTCTATCTATTAAGTCATATTGCGCTGAGTGTTATTGATTATTTTTACTATTCTTTGCAGTAGTGAAATTTTTATAGATAGATGTATTTTATTTATGATTTTCTATTTTTGCATGATTTAAACGAATAGAGCAGAGTTAGAAACCATCTGATAATTGGTTCGTTATTATCATTATCATATATAAAGAAAGTTATTAACTTGTTAACTTTTAACACTCATTCTCAAGATAATTTGCACATGTGTCCTTGATCTTCTTTTTATACTTTAGACAATATGAGCAAACAGTGATTACGTGGAAGACGATACACGACAATCGTAAGTATGCATGCTCTCGTATGTAGTTATCTGCACCTGTTTCTTTAACGTAAGAGAGCCGGCCAATTTATTCTTTTCCTTTTATGTATTAATTAACGATCATCCTTCACGTGTAAGACGAGAAAAAGCGTAATATACAGGCTGTTCTGTCTGCCTGCTTGTGTTTTTTCACTAAAGTGAAAGAAAAATAATCTATGCATCATTGATCACTATTATAAAAGAGGATGAAAAACGTATTTCTCTTCACATTTTTTTTTTGGTTTTTAGCATTCATTTGAACTCACAACTAGTGAATTCACTCGTTCTTTTTTGACTTCAATCATTCTTGGGCATTATTTAACGGTAACCACGAATGTACTAATTCTAGTTAGTCTGTGATATTTAGATGATATCTATTCATGCCAGAGATCATTGTCCTGACGAATAGCGTGATTCCGAATTCTATTTTGTTTTCGTTTTTGCGATAGGCCCCGCGCTCACAGCTTACGAACGAGTCGAGAATCGGACAGATGTCTCCTGTTCTAGGAAATTTGTTTTGTCTAATTCCTTCTTGTGATTGGAATATTGTGCGCTAATTTTTTACATAGGTATTATTTACAAGTAACGTTCATCAACATTGAATATCGATTCCCTTGGCCCTAGATTGATGGAATGATGACAAAGATGTCCTTATATTTTTAAATAAAAATGAATTCTGTATAATGATTAGTTTAGGAGAAATTATTAGTATTTGTAACATGTTCTATATTACATAGTATAGATATATTCAAATAGTTCACAGAAAATATTGAAAGATGCTAATGTGTATGATAAAGTTTATGCTTTAGTTCATTATAATGACTAACATGATGTTTTATGTCAAAGTAATGGCCATTTCTAATACGGACATGGCCAATTGTGACACAGACATGCTCATTTGAGCCATAAGAATGGTCAACCGTGCCATAGAAATGGTTGATTGTGCCGTGGAAATGGTGAATTGAGCCATAGAAACGGTCATCTGTATAATGAAAATGGCCAATTATGTCAAATAAATGGTCGCCTGTACCACCAGAGTGGTACTTTTGTACCACGAAAATGGTCACTTGTACCAAGAATATGGTACTTTGTACCACGAAGATGGTCACTTGTACCATGGCTATGGTACGTTGTACCATGAAAAGGGTCATTTGTACCAGATGTTAAAGGCAGACAGACAGACAGACACAGGTGAATTTCCATTTCTAGACTCTATCCTTTCAGTCTATGGAACAAACATGCTGGTCGATTATTGCTGAAGGCTTCAGGTTGTGTAGCAAAATCGACTGCGACTTTGACTTAGATATTTTCTGTCGTTGACATAATATTCTTTGTTCACATGTGATGAAACAAAATAAAGAAATTTTCCCCACGAATATAACTCCAACAGAAGTACATACAGTATTTCAGAGTTGCTAGATGTTTCAAAACAACATTCAATACATTTGTATTTGATACAACTTGACCAGATAATTATTATGATAATAATATGATGCAGGGTAGACGAAACTTTTTAACTCGAAGTCACTAATTACACTAATCTCAGAAACATAAAGAATGGATTAGATTTTGACTTGCCATGCCTGACGCAACTTTGACTAAAACATGACATAGATGATGGAGTCAGTCTGGTTTGTTGAGGAACGGTAGTAGTACTAGTATTAATCTGAATAGGTCAAACCTGACCGAACCGACCGATCTGATATCTGAAACGGAGACCAATCCTCGTCATGACCGGCCCGGTTTCCTTTCAAGACTATGTTACTTGACATGATCAGGTTTCAAAAAAACTTCAGTATAAGTTTCTCATGAGCTATTACGAAAATTAATAAAAGTTATGAGTAAGCCTATATTATATGAGTATTAAAGTAAATGAGACTGGTCAATAGATGCTCGGCCAATATAAAGCTAATGACTGGTCTACTGAGAGATTAGCAGATGTGAGATTTGTATAGGTATCAATCCATCTCTGAAGTATGAGTGTAACACACAAAGG